GCGTCTATTTTATTAGCGATCGCGTAACTTAAATTCATATTACGGATACCTCTGAATACTAGAAGTCCCGCACGTATTCTGATCGAGAAACTTAAATTSATATTCGAATTGATCGATRAATTTCGCCATTTTCATAAAAGCATTTACTGTATATCGGAATCGCTTTCGAACATCTAAAAATAAGACAAGTTAAAGAAATTCCTTGGAACGGAAGTATTTTTTTGACTACTTTTTTTTTGGCCATGCTATTTACTGTTGCACGAAATCGTCTCGAAGGACGAATTTCTGTGTCTGTTTACATAAATGGATCTTATAATTACACAATTAAATAAAAACACATTGAATGGTAGGATGAAAGCCAAATGCAAAGGACACTGCGAATGATTGCCATAAACTTGTAAGATAATCATCAGACAAAATACTACTGGATAAAAACCTTGTAAACAACATTAATTATCATGTACAAGAACCAYAATTCAATTTTATTCATTGGCTCTAAATTTCTTTCGAAAATATATTATCGAAATGGTTACAACATCTCCTGATATACTACTACTTCACAAGCATACAAACCAAACTACATACTTTTCCAACACGATAGAAAATACTGTAATACTAGCTTTGACATTTTTCGCCTCAACATGGAAAACATTTTAACGATATGTGARAATGTGTACTAAGTATAAATTTGCGTTTATATGATGGTTTGAATAAGATTCTGTTTATTATATTTGTTTTCATAGGACAAAACCATTCAAAAATATATCTTGTTATTCGAGAAAATTATTTGTAAATTGATCTTAGGCCAATAGGCGCTGTTCTGCATAAAAGCAGGAAAATGATAAGCACGGCTACCGCTGTACTATTCTTCGGATGTGTGACAGACAGACAGATATGAGTCCATATCGTCCAGAGTCCATCAAGATATTCAGTGCGAAGGCCCAATTGATATGGGAATCTGTGGTTTCTGTGGYTCATTTCTCTGGTCGGTGGAATACCGTAATATAGCTTTAGGAATACTCATCGGTTGTGCYCCCTTMGGAACACCCTGACCTTGACCTTTAGTWTCACCGTAGGTAYCACTTCTACTCCTCGCTCTCAGTCTTTTTGGAATTTGAAGCTGTCCTAGTGCCCAGGAGCCCTCGGCTTTCTTAATATTATTCCTGGGCTCTAAATTTGGATTCTTGTCTGTCTTATGGTTGTGTCGTTTCACGTCTAATTTGTCCTGAAATGTTTCGCTGGAGGAAGRTGATTGGCTAATTGCCTTGTTTGGACTTATAATACGGTCACGTGACGCATCTCGAATGCTCTTRAACTCACGTGACTCATTAAGAGAATTCCTCGTATTACGTGATTCATTTGCGTTGTTTTTTACGTCACGTGACTCTATGRTGCTAGTCCTAGTAGTTTTAGATTCATTCATATTCGTCGTAGTGTCACGTGGTCGAGCTACATTGGTTACTTTGGATGATGTAGAAGGTCTCCTAGTAACGCTTGCCTTGCGAGGAATTCCTTGGCCTTCAACGGCTAGATTCACTCCAATGTACGGAGGAGCACTGACGTGGGCCTAGAGAAACAACAAAGTCAAAAGAATTAATACTGACCATRGCACAAGCCATTGCTGAAATAACATCACACGTTGCATTGTGATTTAGAATCTCTACAAACKTTTTTTCTCGTGCTTCCAAAATGATTTTGCTTATATGGAAGCTTGCCCATGATGCAACATCATTTTGTATGACAACTATATACTATTTCTGTGTTGTGAAATTTAAAATTGTTGAAACGCCCCTTGCATCCAAGATTCTTTGCAATGGTTTCGTTTACAAATGATCTGTTGCTGAAAGGTGCTTTCTGATTGGATCAAAATCAAAGATGGTGAAAATCGCGAAAAGGCTCTGGATGTACTTGGGCTTTGAAGCGCTAGAAAACAGCGAAGCTAAATCCTTACTTGCTTGAACGCTAGCTCAAAACGTCCAGTATCACAGTTTCTGTCTTCTCTTCTGTCGAGAACAACTAAAACATACACTTATGATATTAGCAGATAAGATTAGCAAATTGCTCAAATGCGACAAGTTATCAAACCTTTCATTGTGTCTTCCACGACTTGAGCACAAAGCTTCCTHGTGACTCCTGTACTGGCTCCCATAGTTGGACTACAGTTGATTTCGATCTAAAAACAAAATACGTTWGTGRTAAAGAGCAAGAAAATCATCTGTCACARCAGYAAAAAGAATATCAGCATAAACAAGAATGATACTAATTGTAAAAGCAGCGAGAAAGAACGACATTGACAGTAACAACACTGACAGCAAAAACAACAATAATACAAGTAACAGCATCAAGAACCAGACGTCGACAATAACAAAACAATGTCGACAAGAACAATTATGACAGCAGCGACAGCAGTGAGACTACAATGACGACTTAATAGCAGCAAAAACAATGAATAAATTGATAAATAAAACAAACACTAATTTTCCCACAAATTGCAATAATATAAACAGCCGCAAAAGCGCAGCAAAACAACCTGAACAATATGGACAAAAGCAAGAGTAAGAACAGAAGCAATGACACAGACTTAAAAACAGCAATAGCAAACAAACGAACAAAAACCTCTCAGAAACCAAAGTAACAACATCAACAGCAGCATGCAGCAGTAACATATCACCAACAACAACGATGTAGACGAAAGCAAGAGCGATAGCAACGGTAAATTAAATTACAAAAACATAAGAATAGATGAAACTGATGCTTCTCCACTCACCAGCCATGGYTTAAAATCATCTCCGATAATAAAATCAGCGCCATAGAGTTCAAAGGAATTCTAATACAAAAATACAACAAATTATTAGACAAACCCAATGCCTCATGAGGCACAACATAAAGATATTCAGTTTGAATTATCATCAATACCTTTCTGTACTCTACAATTTCTTGACAAGATTCCATCGCATAAATAACAGCTTGTTTCATGCCAGGATAGATTACATTACTCCATTTTCCGTCTAGACCTTTCTTCCTGTAAATGAAAACAAATCCATGTCGGCAAGGACCGTTTACAAGGCGTKCCCGTGGAATAAKGAGCCTTTGAGTTTCGTTAAAGGGRGTTCCMCTTCAAATTATTATTTGRACACTTGTCAAAGAGCAACTAACRATCTCTTCCKCATCACTGTGATTGGAAAGTGAAAAMTATGTTTTATGATGTAAGAAACCGTCGAAATCATCTCAAATAATCTTAGACAAACAAGGAAACAATGATTTCTTAATGAAATTCTTTACCTTAGATAGGATTTAAATTCGTCGCTCGACCACATGTTTTCCTCTGGYAATCTTTTATCGCGAACTTTATCGTTTTCAAAGTTCTTTTGAACTGAATTGTTCGCCAAATGTATGCTCCTGAAAATAATAGTAATCGGAGAGTTTAAYAATCCTGAAATACTCTCTTATCTCGGGCGCCTTATGAATAAGAAGGGAAGAGAATGGACCGAGGTCATCACATGTTTTGTTGCGGTAAAGGGCCCCTACTGCCCAAATGCCTCCTGAGGATTGACTAAAAAGTCGTAAGAAAGTAACTTACACATGGAAATCTTCTAACGAGAAATTCTGAGAACAGAAGCGAAGATAACAATCCTGTAAAAATAAAACACATTCAAATTTAATGCTTGTTTTTTACAAAGAGAAATGTAAAATCACTGGAAAATCTCAGTCTTTTACATACTATGTAAATATTTTGGAAATTGTATTTTACAAACAATTTTTTCACATTTACAAAAAATCTACATTGAGTACGAGAAAGAATTTACAAATGTTCAGAATTTCTTTGCACGCAGAATTTACAAATGATTTACAAAGTCTTTTGAAATTTACATAGTATGTAAAAGTCTGAGGTTTTCCAGTGAAATGAGTGAGTATAGACTCAAGTAAGAAGTAAGCAATGTGCAGCGACACCACTTTGTACAATAAAGCATGTTGGGATATATTGAGGTCCTCTTAGTTTTTATGGCCCCTGAAAAATTTACTTAAAAGCTGTGTTTTTTAGTTTTGTAAGTAGAAACGCCACATTCGCTTTTTATTGCAAATAAAAATCAAAAATGGCTTATCGGCCGGGACTGTTTTAGCGGACATGGAAAAGTGGGATGACTGACACTGGTGAAAAACGCACTGCGCATGCCCACAGCTTTCCCGCCAGTGGGCGCTCGCGTCTTGAAATCTGTACATAGAGCGCCTGGCGATTTACAGCGATAACACAGAAAACACTACGAAAAACCTCATTTTCTCAAAATAGAAATGACATGCAAGATAAAAATAGAAACTACATACTAAAAGGACCTATCATGAACAATGATTGATGGAAATATGAATCTTATATACCAGTGAACGAGTTTATAAATTGTAAAAAACTTTCACAAAAATCGTAGTTAGAAAAGAAATTACACAGATTTCAGCGGGAAAGCTGTGGACATGCGCAGTGCGTCTTCACCAGTGTCGAGATGACTACAGTTCCAATCTGTTGCATGTTCTAATGTACATTGCCTACTCGGTTGTTAACATCATGGCTACGCGCGTTGATACGCTGGTTACATACCTGGTAAAACCACACTGTCAGTGGATTCCAGTCCGTGACAAGGTACCATTGTCGAATGTCAAACTTTACACCGTAAATCAACAATGGACGTTCTGTTCAATCAAATAAAAAAAAACTGAATCAATGCATGAAGCAATAAAGAGACTATGTGAGAAAGGATAAATTTATCATAATACTGAGCTTTTATGAGCGGGAGACCTTCATGGGCATTTAAAACTGCGAGCTGCAAGCGAGCATTTTTAAATCCAATAAAAGTAGGACGCGAATATTTTATATTGCTGTTCAAACTCCAACATAAGCTAAACCATATTTTTCTAAAAAAAGTAAGATGAAGTATTATTTTTAAGAGAAAATCAAAGTTTTAACTTAAAAGTCGTATGCAAATCAGGACAAATCTCTTGCTCATATAAAGATGCAGTCACGGCAATGATTTTCCATTGTGTTTACCTTGTGAATTGTTAATGAATTTGATAACTTACCGATATATTTTTGAACAACCCATCGTCCTTCTTTCTGTCCAATGATGTTTCCAGTTAGCTTCAGAATATCTTCAAGACGATCCATACACATAATTCCTGATGATTAAATATTATACTCAACAATCCAATTCATCAGATAGATGAGAATTGAACTACAGTACATTTTACAATCACGAAACAATCGTTGTATAGAACAGCTCTAATTTATCCCACTCATTCATCAGATAGATGGGAAATGAACTACAGTACATTTTCATTCAGAAACAATCGGTGTATAGAACAGCTGTAATTTATCCCACTCATTCATCAGATAGATGGAAAATTAACTACAGTACATTTTACATTCAGAAACAATCGGTGTATAGAACAGCTCTAATTTATCCCACACGCAACAACAAAATATATGAAACAAGCATCAACTTCATCAACATACCACGTCCACGTGACTTGGCCCCAGGCTTCACGATCCAGATATTTCGCTGACCATCAATATCAATTTGTGGCATATGTTCTTTCATCTGAAAAAAAAAAAACCGTTTACAATTACATTTATATAGAATGAGAGAGAACATAAAAAAAGTATTTCAAACTGTAGTAAACGATCTATACCACACCTTATTCACTACATTTTGGCATTCACGTAAGAAAGGAAAAGCACTTGCTATGACTGTTTGCGATTGTCTGAAACAGAATGGAGATATGTCCACCAGTTAAAAACCTTTTTTAATACATTAACACAATCTTATAGCTGTTGTCATCTGTACAGAAGCACTTGCAGTACAACTTGTAGAGAAGTCGATTATGACCGCTAAACGAATCCCCTACATCAGGGCTTTGTAACTGAAATTTAACAGAAAACTTGCATACCGTAGCTGATACGAATAGTTGATTATTTCATTCCACAGTACTTCTGAAATCACTGGCTTCTACAGAGTAAAGAATACAAATTGATTAGAGTGCACTTGACACCGAAAACAGAGAGAAAATGCCGATGCTCATGACTTCCTGGTTTTAGCGGCCTTTATTGCAGCCGCCGCTTGCATCGCCGTGTGTTTCCCCAGACGATCGATCCATAATCCATATGAGCGGCTGCAAATATAGCTTGAGTACAGATCAGAGGCTATATTTATCTAAAATCTACTTATAAATAACGAACTGCTTACTGTATCAAGGGGATCATCAACATCAAGATGCTCCTGACGTCTCAAATAATCCCGGCATGCCTCAAGAGATGACGTTAGAGCTTTAACAGGAAGGATGTTGCCGCTAGTTGTTTCTACCGCGGGCTCATCTTCTTTTTGTTTGTCTTCACACCCGATAGATGGTTCGTCGTTCGTCTGAAGTGTGCCAGAGGCAGAGGAACTATTTTCAAASCGGGCGATAACCCATTTGATAATAGCTAGAGCAGCATTCATTCGAAAATCATCTGAAAGAAAACATCGGGTTTAACAAGAACAATTATGGTGATTAATGCGATGGCGATGATGATAATGATGACAATTATGTAATAATTTACTATTTGGTGATGGAGATTGCTATAAGTCACCCTTTTAATAAGTCCCGAGGTATTGTGTTCTCCGCACTTTACGTCAAATTTATTCCTTTGAATTCCTTTTGTATTGTAAAAATTTCAAAAGAATAAATTTGACGTCAAGTGCGGAGAACCCAGTACCTCGGGGCGTATTAAAAGGTTTCATAGTCATTTACGATGACGACCGAAGATAAAATTTTAAAGCATAAGCCGAGAACAAAAGAAATGACAAAGGAATGAAGTCAAATGTGCGGCATAAGACATCGACGTAAGCATAGCAATAACCATAACACAAATAATAAGCTGTTGAGAGAGGAAAGAACGAACAAAGAAAACCACCTTCTTCAATCTCTTCTAATCAAAAAGTTATTGTTTTTGACCCCTAGTGCTCATAGCGCTAAAAAAACAGGCTTCATTCATATCTCATGTATTTAGAGTCAGCAAGGTTTATGTAAACCTACTCACCTATAAAATCTAATTTGTCTTCTTCGACACCAAGTCGATGGCATCTCGGAAAAAAGGTGAAAGGATCCACTTCTTCATAAAAGGCTAAATTACGAAGATTGCTACAGAGACCAACCTTAAACAAACAAGTACATTGTTTATAATATGTAGTTTTGTTATTGTGTCTTCATTTTTCTTTCAGTTAGTCTCCATTCGCAGCCGTTATTGGGAACGAGCCAAATACTCCAGTTTCGAATTCAAAGCGAATAACCGCTGTTTTACTTGACAGCATATTCTATTACGCAAAGAACTTACCAAAGACAAAAGAAAGCACGAGGAAATGTTGTTAATACAATAGAGCGCTAAGAAACTACGTTTTCCCCGAGTTGAGGCTAACCCTGCTCATACCTTATGTCTTATGGGAATACAGGTATAATCTCAACTCGAGGAAAATGCAAATTTTCAAGTCTATTGTAATAACGACATTTTCTCGTGCGCTCTTTTGTGTCTTTGCGCAAGAGAATCTGTTGTCAAATAAAGCAGCGGTTATTCGCTATGAATTCGAAACTGGAGTATTAGAGATGAGGGTAGACTTGTCTCCAGCATGACAAAGTAAAACGAAAATGATTGAAATGAGAAATAAAGAACAAGTGAAGAAATAAATGGATGGGATCAAAAAAATGACACATTTATAGAAAAAGCGATAAATTTAGAATAAACGAATGAAAGAATGA